CGGATCGCGTACTGCGGCGAATTAACAGCAGTTAACAAAACATCAAGTCAAAACAAGTACTAACATGTAAAGCTTACAGCTTAACGGTTCTGTGCTGATATTGGCCGACCGGCTCAACACGTTGTACGTGTGAGTGCTGATAAGCTATGGCATATAAGCCATCAAGAAGGCGAGGGCAAGCGGGGCCTCGGTAGTGTAAGGGATAAGAGCACGGTCCCCGGAAAGGACAAGTACGGGTTCAAGTCCCGTCCGAGGCTGAAGTTTTGTCCACAAATCGCCAACCTTGTGAAATTGTGCTCGTCGAACAAGATAGTTTACCCCGCGGTAGCTGGTGCTACGGGAAAATAATCGAAGTGGTCAGAAGCGCTGACAACATGATACGATCGGCCAAAATTCTGATGCCAAATAAGCACATATGGCATAGACTCCTTAGCAAAATATATCCGCTGGAAATTTCATCGCCAATGTGTAATGAAGCCACAGAGGTCCCCACTCAAAGTAGAGAGCAAAATACGGCTCCGGATTTTCCGTGCACAAAGCTACAAAGAAGAGCGAAGCTCAAAGCCATTCAAGCAATCAATGATTCGTCGGTGACGAACACCACAAAATCGTTAGGAAACGCCAGCGTAATGGTATTGACAAGTGCCTGACTGGTCATGGTCGTGGCCAGGACCAGCAATAACTTCTACTGGACGTACAGGCGCCGATATCAAGACGGAATGGTTCGCACCTGTGATCACTAGACTTGACAACCCTCGCAGAGCAGAATATGGAATTGCTCAGATTTCTTCGATGTGCAAAACATTCTACATATTTTACTTACCTACTTACTTTCTAATTTCTAGCTTACAAACCATTACCACTCTACCACTGCACACATTATCAATCTCGACATGGCTTTTTCACCAGCTAGAGTTATTGGCCGACTACTATCTTCTTTCACGTCTGATTTTTCTCCCCCAACGGGAAAGGAGGTCGCAATTGCCGACGCGTTCAAAGCAATTCTTCGAGGCGCAGAGAATGGCGACGTCGAATATGAGGAAGGAGAGGAGTCGCTTCAGGTAAACTTTACACGGGTAGTTTGGAGCAAAGCAGATTCTGCATTGCAACAGGTTATAGGCATCTTTGGACGTAAAAGAAGAGGTCAGCTGGACCCCAGACGATGACGACGATGACCGTAGCGGCATTGTAATTCCAGTCCAGGAAAGCGTTTTCTTTGACGGCAGACCCATTTCTCAAAACACTGTTAGTTTTAGCACTGTCTAACAAAAGCTAAATGTGAATTGCTGTATTTCGACAGATTCGCCGCGCCATCGCCCATTACCGTGATATGGACAAGGGTATCCATTCTTTAGCGTCCATGGCGAACCGGTTCAAGTGGATCAGAACTGAACGGCATCTAAATTTGATCCGTGAATTCGAAAAAAGAGGTACCCAGTGGCAGTTGCTGAAAAATTAAACTGATGAATCAGCGAGGGTCTATTAGCTTCCCATTTTTTAATCTAGAAATAGTTGAAGAATCGAGGGTGATTGATTTCAAATGCCTCTCTGCTCTTCTTCGAGAAAGAGTGATGGAAGCAGCCGAGCAAGGTATGTTTTTGAATGTCCGTGCTGGAAAGTAACGTGCACGTTGACAAAGTGCGCCAAGTTACATGGGCCTTCTAGGACTCCCGTTGTCGTACGCCACAGTTCGACACATGGCTGTTCTCCTGAATCGTGAGCTTAGGCTCACTGAAGACTTCAGGGCATCCAAATCATGGATTGCCAAATTCGTTCGAGAATGTGGGCTACGATCGAGGCGGGTCACGCGTTTTGTGACCACAAAGAGCATACGTTGCAGACAGGAGGTGGAGCAGGAGGCAACTGATTTCGTGAAACGCGTAAGGAAAGAGATGAAGAAGTTTTCTCTATCTGCCTTTGCCAATGCGGATCAGACGGGGATTAACAAAGAGTTGGCGTCGGGAAGGTAATCCTAAGCACGAGCTACTCTTGCGTTGGTGATCTCTTCATTACAGAACGTTGGCACCGTTTGGCTCGGAGCAGGTCATGCGAGTGGCGCAGTCTGTTTCCTCGCTTACACACTCGTTTTCTGCCATGCCAGTGATATATGCAGACGGACGGCTAGGAGAGAAACTTTTCGCTGTTTTCCCCGAGAAAAAAGGAGTCTTCCCGCAGATGGAACATTGGCAGGCACCAAACCTGCTGGTGTTGGTCGGAAAGACCCACATCATGACGAAGTCGCAAGTCTCAGCTTTCGGCAAGGAATGTGTGGTTCGGCCATCGTCCCTTTCACTGACAGTACTTCTTGTCGACAGCTGGGTTGAGTTTGCGGGCCACACAAATGTGTTGTCAGAGGTCCCTGGAGACAAGGAGCTCCGTTTCATGACTATTCCACTGGGAGCGACTGCACTGTGTCAGCCTCTGGATGCGTACTCCTTCCGACTCTTCAAGCGGTACATCAGGCGGCTCCACGACCACGTGGCGCATAATCACCCTGACTTCACTTTCGCCAGAGACAACGTTCTCAAAGTAAGAATTTTGTGTCAAAAATAATAGGTGACCTTCCACTTATTAATTTTCGTGCAGATCGTCAGCCAGACGTACAGGCAGTTTTGTGCCCCCGTTTTTCGCCCATGCCTGGCGTACGCCTGGGTGGTCGCAGGATACGTTGCATTCGTGAAGTGCAGTTGGTGTGGCAGACAACAGTGCTTCTCTTGTTTTGTAGAGTTGTATCATACTTGTTGATAAATTGCTTGCAATAAGTAGAATGTTTTGCACATCAAAGAAATCTTAAGCAATTCCATATTCTGCTCTGCGAGTGTTGTCAAGTCCAGTGATCACAATTGCAAATCATTCCTTCTTGATATCGGCGCCAGTACGTCCAGTAGAGGTTATTGCTGGTCCTGGTCACGACCATGACCAGAGAGGCACTTGCTTTGGCCCTGGTGCAGTATGGAGCCAATCTGGAGGTGGCAGCACAAAAAGCAAAAACGGCGAAGCCACTAGGATCCGAACTATCAACCCAGTGAAGCCATCCCATCTCGAAGTCCACATCGCTATCCACCACACCATCCGTCGCTGCCAGCAGCTAGGCCGTGGAGAGCATATATGAAACTTCCTCGCACTTTTCAGCATGTTTCAACATGTGGCTCCCTTTTTTGACTACCTTTCACATTATTTTCAATGTGCAGTCAACTGGCGCCTTCTACTTTTAGGACAGTCGACGCCATGAATGAAACAAACGACGCTGAGTGGGTTAAAACGGCGATTCCTGACAAAATCATTTTCAGTCGTTTTTTGACATTCAGAGGGTCATTTAGCGGAAACGTACCACAGTTTTATACTCAGTGCTCATGCCCCTATACCATGCAAAAGACCATTTTCAAGAGGCGTCCCACGCCCTGGAAAACCTTCCTTTTTAGTTCACACCTTAGACCATGGGCCAATCCGTCATTTTTTTACCGTGACTGGCATTTCCCAGACCTGCGTCCTTTGTTGCTAACCGTGGAGAACCTTTGGAAAACGGCTGTCTTACTAGCTAGCATCGTTACTTACTTCACGGCTGCCTCCTACTTTATGGGTCCCATAGTTACTCTGACGGTCCTCAAACTTGTCGGTCAGTTATTCACCATCGTTTTGAAGTCCGCGATCTTTATCAGCCTGATAGCTTGCGAAATCGTGACCAGGTACTTCGCTATGATACGCTCTACAATCGAGCACTGAACGGCAACGGTGAGATAGGCAATGGAGATTAATAGTTTCTGATCTAGTCCTTTTGTATTCTCATACAGTATTCAGGAAGAATGTTGCAACGATGAACACAGCTTGATATCTCTTCTGAATAACCCTTTTCCCTACAGTAAAGCAAGCTGAATTGGCAATAACTCATTTTTAGTGGACGAAGTGGACGTCGCGGTGCACATTGAACCTTTCGCCGAGGTCGTTAGGGACCTGAAAGAGCAACCAAACTTCGCCGCTATTGGGCTAAAATCCAAGATCGATGCCCTCGCTCATGCTTTCTTGCCAATCTGTCACTCTCAAACGAAAAGTGGAGCTCCTATTAGAAAGAACGCAGCCGAAATCGAACTGCCCCTTTTGTCCAATGGAGAACAACAAAGACTGCCGTCCCACGGGCAGATGTTGCCGTTACCCCGATGCCGTATCGCAAGCAATCCAAGCAAGCCACCTTGAACTCTGTAATCGCTGTCTACACCATCGACATCGAAGGGGCCGTGGGATACTCTGCACCTACTGTGGCAGATAGAATAATGCCCTGCTCTGCCCAAGCAAACTGTCACAATCCACGGCTTCGCTTGAAAGAAGGAAGTTCTAAAATCACTTAGCCCTGGAGAATGCACTGGTGAGTTGGCACCAGCGCATTTTCAGCATTCTTATCATCGTCGTCGACTAGCATTCCTCTTCGCCCCACCTTCCGATGACTCAGCTACTGACTCAGGTCGGCGGTCCTCTAGTCTTATTCAACCGTGCGGTCGACTAGCATTCCCAATCACATCGCCCCCTCTGACATCGTCAATACTATGGTATAAACTGCGGCTTTCGCCCTGTTCGACCGCCTACCTTCAAAGCATCATCGTATTCATTCGGTACTGAATCTGTGTCATCTCCTGGAGCCGCGGGTCACAGCTCAAATTCTATCAAACTTTTGTCGAAGCGAGGATGGGCGGCAGTCGATGCTAGCGTACGTTTACCTTCCGATGGAGTAGTTCTTGTCGACGGCAGTGGCACAGCTCACAAGTACAGATGGTGTGTGGCAGTTCAGATAATCGTGTGTGAAAATAATCAGAATCGACACGTAATTGTTAACACAGAGAACATTTTGTTAATTCTCTATCTTAACAATTACGTGTCGATTCTGATTATTTTCACTATATACTATTTACCTGATATTACGGCAGATTGAATGATATCCCGTTGATTGTGTGGTTGTAATTCATTCTCTTCACTATGTTTCACGTAGTTGACTACTACCCTTCGCCGGAGTGTCGAGGTATACCACGACGTTCATCCATTTGCATTGCAGATCATTCTTTGTACATATTTCTGCATATAATCGATTAGGGTTGCCAGCCACTCATTGAAATGTTTCTTTCGCATGAAAACTATATAAAAGTGCCTGCGTAACGATATGTGAACTTTGAGGATAAAGGATTCTAGCGGTCGCCTGTGTCAGGAAGCTCACCGTGAAGACAGGTTTATGAGCATCACAAAGCGCATACTCGAAATAAAAAGGATGAAACTCAAACAAAAGAACAACAACAAAGAAAAGGATAGCAAGATTCAAATGCGGCCTTAACTGCCCAACTCCTCTACTGGATTCGCTCGCAGCTTCTCTGTCCCGATATATCTTTAACAGTGAGCTACGCACGCTCATGCGCGCACCATATGTCCACAACCGCTCATCTACGAAATTACACGAGAAGAGCAATAAAACACTTTCATGTTCCGTATAAACGACACCGCCTCACCTAAAATCCCGCTTAAGTTTCATTTCTGGAAATCGCGCATTAGAGTTAAGCACTCAAGAGCAGAATATCCTTTCAAGAGCGTAGCTGACATTACATTTATATTGGAAATGCCGTTCTCGTGTGATTGTAGGAAATTGCGATCGGGGCGGAGGTGCAGTAAAGCACTGACTTGTACATCGGCCGGTCACCGTAAGTCATTCATTGCATAGGCCACATACGCATTCAATACGCCACTACGATTCTGGATGGAAGTCGAATGCGCGGGATCCTTCTGACGGGATTGATTAGCCCCCAAACATTATTCAATCGCGCATTAGAGAAGTAATGGAAAACAGTCAGCAGATTGTTCGATGATGCTTGATACCACTAGATGGCAATTTAGAACGTATCCTACCTTACGTTCTCTAGTCTCTAAAAAATAGGTTGGGGTGTGATCTATTTCCCCACCGCGCTCACGTGATCTCCACGATGTTGTGCCTACGTGACTTTTGGGAGGACACGCAAACGGGCATACAAACGGACACACAAAGTTAGCGCTTTATATATATAGAGGATACTCGGAAATTTGTACTAGCTAAGATTGCATTTCAAAGCTGCATTTCAATTCTGAAAGATAGGGAAATGCATACAGACCATTACAGCATAGCGCATTGTATCTTTTAATATTACAATTCAGTGCAACCTGGTAATACAAGTTTCAGACAGGAGATGATTGCACGTAGTAACTTTCAGAGATAGTCTATTTAATCGAGATCGACTGCTTTTGATGTTCTCCTGATTGCTTCAAACTTCAAGTTCCGTTGAAGTGAAGCCCGGAAACTTGAAAAGAGTACGATATCCTACAAGACTAGATTCTACGTAAGGAAGGTCATACGCTGATCTCTTCCACATTGAGTAAAAGCGTTCAGGCCAAATCTTCATGAAGCGATGGTTACAGGCGAATTCATCCGTTGTCAAACACAAAATAGTAGCAATAATGCAGCTGCTCATTTGGTAACACTAATTAATGAAGTGCTGTTCGAATGCTATACGGCTATAATAATTATTTTGTCTTTTCAAACGCATATAACTATTACACACTGACTATGATGAGTTCCTCTCCATATCCATTTCTGACTGCAGAGTATATCCCATCCGTAACCTTTCAGATAATCGCTTTTTGTCATAGTACATGTGTTGGCGATTCCGAGTGTCTCTTTTCAAATGGAAGAGATCTTGATATTGGTGTGATTATGGAGAAAAGTACGGTCTAATTGCTTGTGTCATTGAGTCTGAATACTTGCTGTTTCTACAAAGTGTTGCTACGATCTCGGTTGCACAGCTCAAAAAGTCAATCTTAAAACTGGAAAGAAACATGCCGAGATTCATAGACAGTGACGCTTGGACACTACTTCGACGCCACGGTGTTTGGCAATATCTGCTTATCAAACGATGTGCTATCTGCTTTCGATTTAAGACGCAGCTTTTCCCCTAGCCATTCTCCAAGCTATACCATATCACGCAAAATTGTGCGTATAACGATATATCGTGCGTATAACTGCATGATCGCCTAAGATAAGGCAAAAGAAGGTAGATTCTAACTTCCGAATCTTATCGGACTCGTTGCTAGCGATACTGCCTTCTAATATCGAAAAACCAAGGAGGAACCTGACCTTTGCTCGAAGAAGGGGTTCAAGGGAGGTTACACAGCTTTCAGACGCTGGGCTATAAATCAGTGTGAGCGACAAAGGAGGACTTTATAGTATAGCTTATAGGACAGGACTGCTTGCCAACACCTGAGGAATTAACAAGGCAGTTATGCCGCTTGTATACAAAGTGGACAGAATTGGCACGAGTAGCTAATCTTTCTAAAAACATCATTATGCGCTAAACCGAAAACTCGATTTGACCGGTTCTGT